TCTCTCTCACAGGACCTTTCTGGCTTCAAATGTAGTCTGATCTGAGTCTTATCTTGGGTCATTAGACTGGGAGTGCCTGGAGGGCAAGGTCCTTGCTTATTTCTCCCTCAGCTGAGCACAGCACACAGTGGCTGTCAGTAAATTGTCACTGACATTGAATGAACTCAATCTGTCCTCCTTGTCTTTGCACATGGGAGTTCCCCTTGTTGGAATGTAGCTTACCCCCTGCAGGTACTTTCTGTCTTTCAGGGCACAGCTCTGTTCGCAGATTTTCCAGGGCATCATAGCAACTCCTCTCCTGCCTTACCTTTTCCAGCACTGACTGTATTGTTCACTAGGCTGAACTGGATGTCTGGTAGGGAGGGAAGTTTGTCCTTCTGTTTATTTCCAGAAGCTCAGCAGAGGGCTGTGCAAAAGCTGCAGACTGACACACATGTCCTCTCTCATCAGTCCATAGACTTTGATGCTAGGAACAAGGAAGAACCTCTATGATCAGGAGATGAAAGACAAAGGTAACCAATTTCTCCCTCATCCTGCGGAGCACCAAGTTGGGGTAACAAAGACACAAATGATAGTGCCTATCCCTCAATTGGAAAGTGAAGGGCAAGGCAGGCAGAGCTAGCTCTGAAGTGATGAGGAAGACAGGTAGGAAAATCAGTCTTGATGGGCCAAGGATTGGGAATAACTCACGATTCTTGGTCAAAGATAAGGCTAGGGGCAGAGGCACTACTGGAAGCTCTGCAAGTTTATTTGTTTTGATGGGAGAAACAGAGGAGAGGTGACATAAAGAGGCTCAAAAGGGCTGCAGCTGGTTGCAGCTGGGCTGGGAGGAGGAAGCTGGGGGAGACATGAGGTCAGTGTGGGACTGGGACCAGGCGAGTGCTGAGTCTTTCTTCCCCTTCTGCCCATTGGCAGGGTAGAACCCAAGAGAACCTAGTTCCCAGCCTTAAAAAAAAAATCCATGCTGAAGGACTGCTACCTCTTGCCATTCTCCACCCTTCAGGCTGTGCAAAGGATCCTGCACTGCAGCAGGTAGGGTTAAGAGGAGCGAGCAGATGCCATCTACTAGGGGCTGGAGAGGAGGAGGAAACAAGATAGTTGTAGCTGGGAAATCTGTGGGGGGACCCCTTTATCAATTCCCAAATCTTCAGCTTCTCTCACTTTCCTAACACCCAGGGTGTTCCTCAAAGGATGAGAGTTCCAGGGCCAGGACAGTTCTGGCTGGAGGAGCCAAGGAAGCTGCCCCTCCCCCACCAAGCAGCTCAGAGGAAGGCTCACACTCTGGCTTCCTCTTCCCCGCCTAGCAGCACTCAACAGTCCCTGGGCCCCATGAAAAGCTTATGAAGTGGCACTTCCTTTGCCTTTACTAATTTCATACAAGGTGCTACAGAAATGCTACCCTACCAATCCTGCCTCCCCCACCTGAAAATACCCAAAGAGACCCAGGGTTGCCCAGTCCTTTCAGCTCTGCCCAAGCCTTAGGGGGTTTCCACAAGGGAAAATAACATCGAGGAGGAAACTCCGGCATCTATTTTCCACTTGTCACTGGGCAGAGCTGGAGCAGAGAAGACAGGGTACTCCCCCATCTTGCTGCCCCTGGCAAAATCCCCAACACACTCTAACCTCTTCTTATCTCTCAACCTGTAACAATCTTTGGGCATTGAGGAAAGGGCCACAGTTCTGCCCCTGGCCACATACATAGCGACTACACAGGCCGGTCACATCAAGCCTGGTAAGACACCATGGCCCAGAGTAGGCAGCACTGCCATGAGGAGTTTCTTGGGGAGGAAAAGTCAGAACTATCATGTTCAAGTGAATGTGGTCATGGAGGTACTCCTTAATGCTGAAAGGGAGCCAAGAGAGCTAAGTTGACCAGGGTTATATAGAGAGCTGGTAGCAAATCCAGGACAAGGCTATGGGTCTCCTAACCTCCAGCCTACTGTTAGTTCCACAAAGGAGAAAAAGGTAAGGATTGTTACTTTAGCCTGGGAATGGACCTACTATCACTCTGACCTTAATCAAAATGATCAGACCATGGTTTTCACTTCAGGAAATGGACCAGAGGTCAGGTTGACGTATATCTGAGCCTTTTTTGCTTTTAAGTTCAAAGGCTCCTGTGCCTAGCCCATCCTGCAGCATTCATGAGTTAGCACTGACATTACAACAGCCAGTTGCCCTGCCTTGTCCCAGCTGCAAAGCTCCTCCTCTGGCCTCTAGCTCCTGGAGAGATGCCCTCCCCCATGAGATGAGGACAAAAGAGGAAGCTGGACCCTGGACAGGAAAAGCAGTCTGATCTGGGGAGGTGGCCCACGCTTTGTCTTTGGTTTCTCCCTTTAGCTCTTCTCATGGACCCTTATAATATATCTTACCATTTATATGGGTCTACAGTGTATATGGAGGGAGTGATCTACAGTCTGGGGCCAGGCCCTATTATTCTTCCCAGTTCTCTAGCTATCTTTAACCTCATATCTTTCCAGCTGTCTCGCCATAGCCACAGCCTCTCATATCTTCCTGCTCATGATCCCCTAAAAGCACACATCAGACACCTCTTCTGCTCTCTATATTCTAGATTCCTAACCAGGATCTATGGATCCTGATGTGAGGCATCAGCTACTTCTTTTCATGTTACAACCTTGACCATACTTCTTTAGCCAAGACCTTAACAGCAGCCTCCTAGGCTGAAGCCACCCTCATCCACAATGATACTTTCCCATTTAGATCCCTCCCATCCTGGTCCTATTTTTCCAGCAATGATTTTCTTACAGTTAGCTCAAACTTCCAAAGGAGGCAGATCTTGCCTGGCAGAATCCCTGTCTCATCCATTCTGCCTTCACTTTCAGAGCCCTGTGGGTTGCTGAGTTATCCAGAATACTAAAATAAGTACTGATTTGCCAGGCTAGGAATCAGGACTCCTGGGGTTTTTAGTGACTTGTGATGCTGGGAAAGTGCCTTGTGTGTACACTCTTCCCTGAGCTGGGGTTTTATGACAGTCCCTGAGGTTTCATCCTAGAGCCAAACCTCTGTACCTCCCAGAAGTGAAAGTAGGCGAGACAGTTATGTGGAAGGGCACAATTGGAAGAAGGAACAATTTATGGAAAAGGAACAAGTGTGAGACAGGAAGAGGACTGAATAGGGATAGCCCTTAAATTTAGCTATGATTGGGTGATCTAAAAAATGTAGCACTTGTTCCTCTCTACTTTTTTTTTTTTTCTAGTGGAGAGAAATGAATACAGACTACTGAAGGTTGAGAGAAGCAAGATCCCTCAGCCTACATCCCAAAGGCTTGAAGAAGGGGCTCCAGAATTGAAACAAGATCTTACATAGCCAAGATGGACTAAAATTAAACTTGGGAGAAATTCCTGAGAGAGTAGAGTACCAGGTGAATGAGGGGAATGTTAGGGATGCCTGAGGCCCTCTCTCAGCCTCATAAATGTCACAGCTGCCTAGGTATGACTATGTTTTTGATCACCAAGGCCTAAAGTAGACCAGGACATATGTTTAGGATCTGGAAGCCAGGCCCTGAAAGACCAGCAGGGAAGAGGGGGCAGACACTTTTGCTTTACCCTTCTTTTCCTGATTCAAAACTAAAACAGTTAAAACTAAAGTTAGGCCAGCTGCAGTTTTCCCTCCAGAATCCTGCCTTTGCCCCCTCCCTTTCCTTTCATCACACCCAGCTAGTCCTATTCTCTCTGGTAGGTGATGTTGGAACCAACTGTTGTTGGTGTAGGGACCTTGAGACTGCCTCCAAGCTTCCAGGCCTGGCCTCTTGGTCAAGCAGCAAAGGGTTGGGCTGATTTTGATTTCCCACGGCCTCTCTCACCAGTCTTATTCTTGTGTCACGCTACCCTGACTGCTACCGACTGCTTCCTCCTGCCTAACCACAGCCTCACCCACTGCAGGTTCCCTTCATTCTGCTGGCTTCCCCTGCTCTGGGCCCTCTCAAGGCTGAGGGCAGTTATTTTGTCTGTAAGATACAAAGATGTAGACACACAGATACTTACACATGCATATACACACAGAGGTTTTCCAGCCTTTTTTTCTTTTCCTTGAGACAGAGCCTATAGCTATCCCCCTGGGTAGAGTGCCATGGCTTCACAGCTCACAGCAACCTCCAACTC